CAAAAGGTCACGTTCGTTAGGCTTTCAATTTCGTAGAGCCATAGCCTTCTTCATTGCAGTTTCTAAGTTTATGATTTTTCGAGCCGTCTTCTTTTCGGCAATAAAGTCATTTCTGCACTTTCGAATAATGCACACCTTCATCGACAGCATTTATGTTATAAAATACAGTAAATTGTCTCTAATTTACGCTCAGATTGTGCACGAAAGTGGACGATTTGGGAAGAGGAGATACGATTGTTCGAGCCTTGCGACTCGTTTATTATAGTCGTTGACAATCAGTAATTGTAAAAATGAATCTCAAGGCTCGAATAATCGTATCTCTTCTTCACAAATTGTCCATTTTTGCCTCGACTTCATTGTCCGTTGTCCATTGCCTTCAAATCGTGCCATGTTGCCTCCGAATTGCATGTGACTTGTCATGCGATCTAAAAATTGCCTTCGAATCGTGTCATGTGGCCTCCGAATTGCCTTCGAATAGTTTCACGTGGCCTCCAAATTGCTTTCGAATCGTGTCAAGTGGCCTCCAAATTGCCTTCGAATCGTGTCACATGGTCTCCGAAATGTCTTCGAATCGTGGCAAAAAATTAGAAATAAAAAATTAAGTCACTGTTTTTATTCTAGCACTTTTTTCGCCGACTGCCCCGAGTTTCTCTAAAAACGAGTCGCGAGGCCCGAAGAATCGCGACTCGATATTCTCAGATCAGCCGATTTCAATCCCGAGCTTCGAACATTTCCGGGAAAAATTACTGTGCTCCAAAGATACATAATAAAACATCGGAAACCTAGATTACGATCTGATTTACTTTTGTTGTAAAAAAGATCCTAAAAGTGACCTTCTTAGACTCCTACAATGGAACTTTTACAGCCTAGAACCGTATAAAGGAAGGAATAAAGTTCCTCCAGGGTCGTTGTCGTTAATATATATATGACAAACTACTGCTTTCTGATCCATTTCCGTCGACGAGGACCTTCATGGTCGATGCGACGATAAATGCATCACAGAAAAGGAAGAAGAAGAAGAACAAGAAGAACAAGAAGAAGAAGAAGAATAAGAAGAAGAAGAACAAGAAGAAGAAGACGAAGAAGAACAAGAAGAAGAAGACGAAGAAGAACAAGAAGAAGAAGACGAAGAAGAACAAGATGAAGAAGAAGACAAAGAAGAAGATGAAAAATAATCGAGCTCTTTCTGTTCCACACTTTCTCAGACACTTTCTGACGACGCAATCGAAACGCCGCGGCGGACGGCTGTTGGAATACGATCGTTCCGAATATTCGTAATTTCTATTTTCGATAGGGCGTGTAATTACCGGGGCTGTTCCGTTGCGACACGCGGGTATTTCCGTGATACAAACTCTTCACGGAAATACTGGTGCAGCTATGAAATAGAGCAGAAGAAGAGTGTCCATCGTGACGAGCGCATCGACAACGCTGCCAACAAAATCACGCGCTAAATAAATTCGATGATTCATCGTATTGGCTGCTATTCGACACGATGATTTGCGTTTTCACCTGATCGCTCGCTGTTTTGAAAGCACGGGTTGGCTATCATCGATCGTCGTCTACCAGTTCGATAATTGCTTTTCTTCCTATCTACGAGATCCAACAGGTTTCAGAGAATCATTATTGGTCCGTAGATTTTATGCAGTTCCGACGAAAATGCGTTGGCGTAATTTAAAACGGTAAAAAGACTGAAAGTATTTAAGATGCGCGACGTTCGCCTTATTGTAATCGTTAAACCCTTGACATACCATTTTCTTCGCAGTTAATGCGATTAGAAATTATTCGATTGCAATAATTTTTATAATAATTATAATAATAATTTTTATAATAATTATAATAATAATTTTTATAATAATAATTTTTATAATTTTTATAATAATATAAAATATTTTTATAATTTCGGCACACGATAAGCATTTTCTTTCCCGTTCTAAATTTAAGTAATTTTAAACATTTTAAATCGTAGTTTTATGTATATAAGATGATTGTTTGTTAAAAATAAACAGATAAATTACCTTAGGTATAACAGCATAATATTTTTGGAGAGATCTTGTCAATAAAAATGTTTGTGACCTCGATGTTGAATCAAGAATTAGATTAAATGTAGTAGTTTAATTATTAAGTCTGTTCGACTTTTAATATCTTACATTAGATTTGAGTTCAGATCAGTGTGAGCCAGATCGGTTTATATCTTTAATATAAATATATAATTTTGTACGAAAGGATCAATCATATTTCTAAGAAATTATTCGATTGCAATAACGGGCAAGAAAATCGATGCTTATCGTGTGCCGAAATTTACTTGAACGCTTAAATATTGACTACAAGAGATTAGAATTTTATCCCAATTTTTTAAAGCATGGAATAACATCGATAACTCGATAAATTATTACTGAAAATTTTCATTACGAGTCAGAGACTCGACTTAAAAAGTCTCGGACTTAAAGAAGAATAAACGAAACGTCGACGTGGCTTCTATTTCAATAAATCGATTCGGACCAATTCGATTTTTCAAAGGGAAACGCTGTTCAGTTGTCGCTAGACCGCGAATTTCTATGCAAAATAAAAACCATCCCCGTCGATTGCAAGGCTCGCAATCGTCGCACAAGCATCGACGATTTCGCAGAAACTTTTCTGGTCGATCGACAAGGTCTCGAAATTACGGTCGAGCCTGCCAAGGGTCAAGAGGTCGCAAATTAGCAGGCGGCACAAAGGCGAAGTTTCGAGAAACGAGGATTCTATCAGCGAACAAATAGGCTACAGTACGCGGCTGGGGAACTCGTTCGCCGCGCCCGTTCCGGCGTTTTAATCCCGCGATAAAAGCACACGCGGGCTGCGCTAAAAGCCAACAACTACTTCATTCCGCGGCTTCGGGATTCCTGCTTAGAGTACACGGCGAATCGAGGGAGAAAAGGTCGCGCGCAGAGCGAACGTATCCAGCGATACAATTCGCTAGAAGCAGGAAGCCGGCTCCGCCGACTCGCGTCTTTGGCTCCGACAGGATTGAGTTCTCGGGTCGTTCGACGATTCACATGCGTGACCTTTCACTTTATCGAGCGACCTATCTCGCGGTTCCCGGAAATTCTGCCTGCCAATAGCTCGAGCCTTGAGCTTCGCATTTCGGAAAAGCGATACACGTCCCCCCCCCCCCTCCCTCCCTCTTGGTCAGGCGAGCTGTTCGATCGCTGTGCGCATTTCGGTCGCGGCGGTACTTTTTCGTGGCATTCGAAGACTATGATTTCGATGCAATTCGTTCTCAACCCCTTTGTCGGGCTCGTGATTCAATACGCGGTCCATTAAATATGTGGGCGGAAAGGGATTCACACGAGAGCGAGCTATACAGGATGTCCCAAAAATGTCTCGCAATCCGAAAGTGGCGGCTTTCTCGGGTCATTCGAAGCAACTTTTTCCTTTACAAAAATGTTCTCCGAGGCACCGTTAACGAGTTATTAACGAAAAACAGTGACCAATGAGAGGCGAGCTCGGCTGGCGCGAGGCGACCGAGACAATGAGCGGAACTGGGCTTCGCGCGCTGGTTGGCCGGGCCGCCTCGCGTCAGCCGTACTCGATTCTTATTGGTCACTGTTTTTCGTTAATAACTCGTTAACGATGCCTCGGAGAACATTTTTGTAAAGGAAGGAGTTTCTTCAAATAATCCGAGGAACCCGCTATTTCCGGATTACGAGACATTTTTGGGACACCCTGTAGAAGCACACGTTCCCATTTACTCGTTTATCGTGCTCCGGATAGCTGCCCTCCTCCCATGGGGTGACACGCACAATCGCAATCGCTCCGAGAACAGAAACCTTCCAGCAACTCTCTGTTCACGAGCTGTAAAGAGATTGTGGTGTTTCGACAGATTAGGGGGGGGGGGGAGGACAGAGAGTCGTGTTTCATCCTGGAGTCTGCTAGAGGACTCGTCGCAGACCCTGCCTTGGACGCAGAGTAAATGTCAGAGGGTCGAAAGCTCTATTAAGTATGAATTTATTTAGGTTATATATTTATAAGATATATGCTTGTTTATTACAGAGAGCAGAACTTTGCGTTGCAGAGGGCGGAATGCAGTTCGAAACTTTTAATGATATCAGTGTTTTCAATCTGGTTTTATATAAATTATTCTTCTATTTCCGATGGTAATCATCTTTCTGAACTCTATTAATTAAATTGTATGATATAACTAAATAATAATAAAACTAAATAATATTAAATTGAGAAGAATTGTCTCAATCTAATTGTCAAAATCTAATATGTACCGAACAATGGCATAAACTAAATCGTAGTCGCTAAATTCTTAACATTACAACCTTTATTATAATATTATAGGATATAATATATATGATTATATATTGTATGTATTATATATATTATTATTTATATGTATTATAATATGCTATATATATAGTATTATTATTATTATTTATATATTATAATATTATAATATATATAAATAATAATAATATATATATAACATATTATAATATATAAATATATTTATTATATATAACATATAAATAATAATAATAATAATATATATATATATATATTATTATTATTATTACTATTTATGTTTTTTTACTTTCAGAAGTATTTAATTTTTCCTGCGTTTTTCGTGCATTATGTATACAGTATATGTTAATATTAAGTGAATAAGTAAATATTAGNACGATATTCATGCGAAATAAAATTTCTCCAAAATTTTTGACCGATTGAAAACAATCGTACAGCATTTGCAAAATATTGCTCTTGCTCGAACGCAATGTTTTCGACCAACTCGCTTCTACCGCAAACGCATAAAATTCGCAGCCTACATAATATAAAGCAGCACGCAAGTCGGTCGCTTTAAAAATTCGACAGGTTTAGCGTTGAAATTAGCCGCGGCCAATTAAACGAACGGGCCTCTATTAAGGCCGAGAAACGCGAGTGTAACTAACGAAAGAACGACGCCCTAAACTGGTTCTAACTACAAAGGTGTTAATTTGCGGTGAAACGAAAGCACTTACCTCTCTGCCTATCGTAAGCATTTATGCACTCGCTGGTCATGAATTGGCTAATCAGGGCGGTCTTGCCGACGCCCCTTGCGCCCAGCATGGCCACCGTGTACGAGCAAACTTCTTTCGCTGGCGGCACATTCTTTTCTTCAGCCTCGGAATTAGCCGGCGCCAAGGAGTTCGATCTTGATCTTCTTCTCCTGAACGAGTCGCCTCTATTGACGATACCTGCAACACGAAACGACGCTCGATGTCATTCAATTAAGCCAGGTTTTCATTTCGTTGGGGAACACCGCGGACGCGCAATTAGAATTCGAATTCAATTAGAACTGAAATCGGTCAATTCGAATTGAAAATAGCTTCTGCGAATTTTCCGTTAATTAGTTAATTTAAGGCTGTACTCGTTGATTCGCGAATTTAATAAGCGTCTAGAATTTGTACCGATGCAAGGTTTTATGGTTTACAGAATCGCGTCCTTTATTAATTGGGAATTAATTGGCCGTGTTATTCGAGGATCGCTTGTTCTCAGAGTCGGGCGAATATTATTTTAAATACTAAACAACAAATTACAAATTTAATTAACATTTCAACTGAACCCTGTAATATCGGTTCGAACGATTGACGCGTTGCGCCGGATACATAATAATCGATCAGCAATGAAATGATAATTATTAAGTAGCAATCGAAATTGTTTCTCTCTAAATAAGAAATAAATTTTATGATTTTAAATAAAATTTGCTCGGATCTGTATAAATAAGAGGGTAACTACTTTTG